ACTTGCAATTTCTCAAAAGCTCCTACGACCTTCAAGATACATCATCAGAAGCGGCTTCTCCGCACCTTCAAACCGGAAAATCTCACTCTTGGGACCCCGTGGGACCAACGTAAGAGGCGAGGGGGCATGTTTACGACAAATGCAGCAATGGTTAAAGTTTTCATTTTGGCTCGAGGACCCCCTTTAAGAGGAGCGCATTTCAGAGAACAGACAAACCGAGGCTTCTCTCCACGCCGAGCACTCCAGCTAAAAGAGGAACGCTCTCCATCCGAGGACGGAAAAAAGAAATAATCTCCTGAACGTCAGGCCTTATCGTGAGCACGGCCTGCTGCTGTATTCTGGAAGGACGTGTACAAACCTCGGGCGACCCCGGGGGACCTTGACCAGAATCAAGGAGGCCGCAGCGCCGCACAGCTCAGCGTTTTCCTCACACACTTGATAACCGTACGAAGCAGCTGAATCAGAGCTGCCGGAGAAAGTAGGAGAGCGAAGCGTGAGACAAAGTTCAAGACCCTGTGCAGCATGAAGCAATCCAACACATGAGAACCATTTCCTCCAGCTGCAGAACAGAAACACAGGGAGCTGAGATCAGTAGCAAGCGTGGTGCGCATTCTTTTGCGGCTGACAGGCCCAATAACATATCACTAATATTACTTCTGATAGCAGCAGGCCGAGGTCCAGCTACTGGTTAGCAGGCGGCCTCGCGTTACACTATAACTCTGGCAAATGAGCAGGTAAATGAAGTCACTGTTGTTGCTGTAGCTTTAGACTACGGGAAGGGTAACGTCAACAGATTCATTCAGAGGGGTTTGGTGTGAAACGCTCTGTTCTAGAGAAACTTAGAGTCAGAGCTGTTCACAGTGGTGGTGATAGGAACCAGACGTCCACCTCTAAAAAGCTCCCTCACAGAAAGTTACTACATGAAATGGTTATGAATTCACTGCCTGATGACTGAGAGTTAGTTTTATAATAGTTCTAAAATGTGAAGGGATACATTGAGGCAAAATAGTCCCCCAATAAAACTTATTATTTCAGATTTTCCACTATTTTCCCATCATCAACATTCCATATAAACGGCTATATTTTTGTTGTAGTCATGGCGACGCCTGGTTCCTATCACCACCACTGGACCATTCACACTAAACCACCCTGAGTGACTCATCTCAAGGACTGAATTATTCAGAAATTTGGGAAAAAACTGGTGGAATTCCCCTTTTCCGATCGCAACGAGGCTTCACGCCTTCTCTCCTGCGCTCTACTTAATGTGACAAGAGCTCCGCCATGTGGACAAAGGTGGTATTGCAGAACAAAGGCAAAAGGGAAGCAAACTAAAGTTTTTAAGTTTAAAATGACAAATTTAATGACCCAAAATGCACAGCTTTTCTTCCAAATTCAGAGATTAAACATGTTTAATTCAATATTTTTCTAGGAGCAGACGAAACTGGAGCAACACTACAGTGTCTAGACCAGCCCAGACATTTTGTAGGTACCTAAAAAAGGGACTGCTGAACATTTTAGAGTTCTGATTCATGATTACTTATGAAACGTTAAAGAGCCAGTTTGTAGTCTGTGTTAGGACACAGCTTTGGGGGGCTGCAGGCATATAAATGTACTTTTTAAAGCGCCTTTTATTTTCTCCATCTACCATCCAGAGCTGGTCCAAACAGAAACGAGCAGCAGAGCCCGAACCAGAGAAGCGGACTGGAGACTGAAACGAACCTGTTTTGCTGCTGAGGTGCATTAAGTCCTTCTCCACAGAGGAAGTCCAACTAATCCTTCACGCGCCATCTTCTTCGCGTGCGCACAGAGCTGACCTGCATTATCCCCGTTTGAGTGGTGAGGTCAGACAGCAGGAGTCCAGCAGGCCGGCAGCTCAGTCACCATCCAGGACAGCAGGGGGCGACATTGCCTAACATTATACTTCAGACTGCAGCGCGGAGCTCGACCGAGCGAGAGTGGGGCGTCGTGTGACGTCACGACGTACTGAATCAGAGTTTGCTTTTGTGATTTTTATTTTTATTTTGTTTGTTTATTGGCGAAATTCTACATACGCAAATCCAAATTTAACAATCCAGAATCCAGAATATGTCAAATTTGAAACTGAAACCAACCTGAAGACTAACTTTATACTTTTGCTATGAGTAAAATTATTTTATTTATTTATTTATTTGGCGAAATTTACAGATTAAAATCAAAATTTAATGATCCCAAGTCAGAATTTATCAAATTTGAAATTTAAACCAACCTGAAACTAACTTTATACTTTTGCTGTAAACAAAGTTTATTTATTTATTTATTTATTTGGTGAAATTTACCGATATAAATCCAAATTTAATAATTTCTGGTTAGAATTGATCAATTTTGAAATTGAAACCAACGGTAGGCTAACTTTATACTTTTGCTGTGAGTAAAGTTTCTTTATTCATTTATTTATTTATTTAAATATTTGGCGAAATTTACAGACATAAATCCAAATGTAATAATCCCAGTCAGAATTTATCAAATTTTAAATTGAAACCAACCAGAGACTAACTTTATATTTTTGCTATGAATGAAGTTTGTTTGTTTGTTGATATATTTATTTATTTATTTACATATTTGGGAACATTTACAGACATAAATCCAAATTTAATGATCTCAGATCAGAATTGATCAAATTAGAGATTGAAATCAAACTGAGACTGACTTTATACTTTTGTTATGAGTATTATTTATTTATTTATGTGTTTGTTTGATCAATTGTTTAATTATTCATTTATATATTTGGTGAAATTTACAGACATAAATCCAAATGTAGTAATTCCAAACCAGAGCTCATCGAATCTGAAACTGAAGCTGGCCAGTGTGTAAAATCCATCGCCTTCTCCAAAAACTTAAAACAACAAATTTCTGCACCTTTTTTTAAAATTTCTTTATCTGTGTGCCTCCCCCCTTCTTTTTTGAAATTATTGATGGGCGTTTTTTGTACTTGACCCATGTAAAGTATTTATCTATTTATTTGTTTGTTTGTTGAGTGATTGATTTACTTCTCTGATCAAGTTACATTATAGGAGAGCCATTTAAACCACTCAGTAAGATACAATAAACAAATAATAAACAAAGATGTAAAGAAATAAGGCAGGACAGGAGTCAAACAGTACTCACTAAACCCATAGCACAAAAATAAACACAACAAAGCACAATCAACACATTGAAACATCTTAAACCAACAAACAACAACGCTGTTCAACTTCTTGCCACATGGCAGCACTATCCCACTTCTGACATCACTGTAGCATCTGCGTAGAAAAAGACATAGTAAACATTGTGCTTACAGGTGAATGCTCTTTTATTGGGCAACCAGCAAGGGAACTGTCCAGCTCAGAGTTACGGAAGTCACGGAATGGTGGGAGAGGTCACCTCCAGCCATAGAGCTCTATGGTAGCCACACAACCCACACTCACTAAACCCACATACCAACACAATGAAGCACAGTCAATACATGCACACATCCTAAAATAACTGTCCTGGTCAACACAAGTGCCGCAGAGTGCGCTTTTCTTGGCAGTGGGCGCCCCCAGTCCTCTGTCGGGGCCACAGTTGTTTATCAACACACTAGTCCGAACTGCAGATCCATGGGTGTCCTCTCCACCAGGGTGGAGAGTCAAGAGAGCTCGGTATCCTCCTCCTGAGCACAGCGGGACTCTATACAGCTCGCCTCATCAAATCAAATCAAATCAAAACCGACAAGCCAGTGTCAATGAGGGCAGGGAGCTGCTTCCTGCCTATGCAGCATTTGACCCCAAGTCCACAGCAGCAACCAATCTTAACAGCTGGCCCACCAGCTCAGGTTTGCAGCGTTGTCTGGCATGGTGTCCCTCTTCTTGCAATGGCAGCACACCGGTCACTCTACCACCACCTGATCGGGGGATATCTCCTTCTTCCTCTTCAATCTCCTCAGCCGTGTAGCACCATGTTGCTCACCACAGCACTTCCATGTGGAGAATGAGTTTGACCCTTTCTGTCTTGGCGACAGCGGCTTGAGGGCTGACCAGTGTGGAGAGCTGCATGTGCTATCTCAGTTCCTCTGGCAGCAGTGCAGTCAGGAAGTGTTCCAATGGCAGCTTCACCTGCACAGCCTTCTCGAATGTTGGGTATGCCCGCCGAACCTTTGTGCTCAGCTCCGCTGCCAGCACACTTATCTGCTCCCCCTTTAGCCTCCATCCATCTGGGAGTAGCCTCTTGACTGAAAGTGGCACCACCGCCTGCCTTAACTGCTGCTGGATAGCCATGATCAACGTCGCTAGGTCATCATGTTTCTCCGCTGGCATATCCGCAACTACCTGTAGTGCTTTTCTTTCCAAGGCCGGGCATAGAGCATATTGTGGTGATGGCCACCGTTGAGCCATGATGCCGGGACGAAGTACAGCTCCCTCCACTGTAGTGCAATTCCTCCTCGATGAGCTCCAGCTGAGCTCCGCGGCTCAATACGAAAAAGTAACAAAGTAACTCAGTACTTAAGTAGTTTTTTCATTTACTCTTACTTGAGTAGTTTTATTTACTAATACTTTTACTTGTACTTGAGTAAGGATTTTACACCCCTGGTAGCCACACAACCCACGTTAACTAAACTCACATCCCAACACAATAAAGCACAATCAACACATTCACACATCTTGAACCAACGAATAACAACACAAACAATAGCATAACTGTTCAGAAATAGGCCTTCTCGCTTTTGACAAGCTGTAAACAGTTTAGCAAAAATAACCCCAACACATTTTACAAATATAAAAAATCAGAGTTGCCATCTTTAGCATAATAAATAGAAAAACTATTATTTATTTTTAAACAATCTGATAAAATTACGAACAAAATAGATTTGTTGTTGGAAATATATGAAATATAATAGTCTTAATAGTCCAGAAAGAAAAAAAGAAGGAGAGAAAGAAAAATGTTGAATTTAAGAAAACTGCGTAGGGGATTTGCGTACGACGTGACGTCATTGCGCAGCGTGCGTACAGCCTGTCAGGTGATCTGTGCTGGGTTTGCTGCGGAGCCTCGGCTGCTCGTCAAGGATGAATTTCTCACCGGTTTTCGTCGCTTTCGCTGCTGTTGTGAGCTCGTTATCGGGTAAACATTGCATGTTTGATTACTAGACAGTCTGAGTGTTTCACTGTGCTGAAGAATGAAGGTGTTAAAGCGGCAGAGCCGCTGTAATCCGGCCAGCTAACACAGAGCAGGATGCTAAGACGCTAACGACGCTAACGACGAGCTGCTGTGCTGATGTTTCTCTCCGGTTTAGTTCAGAGCGCTTATTTTCGGGCTGCATTACATTTAGAGAGTGATTTATCTGTGAGAAGAAGCGCTGATAGACACTTTAATACCAAATGAGACCAAAGGAGAGGCCAGTTTTCGGTTCCTCAGCTCAGAATAACGAAGATGACTGTCTGTCATGTGACTTCATCTCTCAGTCCCACCGTCGCTGCCGTGTTTCATATTCGTCAGGATTCGTGCCTCAATTTACACAGTAAACATGAATATTTCTGCTCTTTTTCACTGCATGTGCGCTGTTTGTCCAGAAGTTGGTGGAAACCAGCGTTTCTTTGTTGTTCAGATGGTTCTTCAAGGGTTCCTCAGTAAAGCCAATGGTTTTGCACCTATTGAACCATTTGCATGCTCGAAGCGCGCTTTGCATGGTGAAATGGTTCTTCAGGTTGATGGAGAATGTGTTCTATATGGTTCTGTGTAGAACCTTTTTTTTCTTTATAGCGCCAAAAAGGGTTCAGGATTGGTTCAAGATAGAGGGTCAAGATTGTAACAATAGCAGAACCCTTTTTGGTTCTATAGACACACTTATAAACCATTATTCGTGAATGTTTTTACTAAAGAAAACGGTTCTATATAAAACCATGAACACCAAGAACCCTTGACACGGTTAAAGAGTTCTTTGCATCGTGAAAGGGTTCTACGGATTGGTGGAGAAGGTTCTGTATGGGACCTTTTTGAAAATGGTTTTAAATAGCACCAAAAGGCTTCTTTGAGTGTTTGTGGTTCTATGTAGATCAGTTTTCTTTGCTAAAGGACCCTTGAAAAATGATCTGTATTAAGAGTGTAGAACCATTTTGGAAACAGTTCTATATAAAAGCATATATGACACGTTCTCCATTAATCGGAAGAAACATTTATGTTCATGGTTCAATATAGAACCATTGTCTTTACTAAAGAACCCTCGAGGAACCATCATAACAGTAGAAGAACCCTTTTCTTTGCTATACAGAACCATTTTCAAAAAGATTCTGCATAGAACCATCTACAGCACATTCTCCGTCAATCTAAAGAACGGGTTCACCATAGAAAGAACCACTTAAGCATGAAAAGCTTCTATATGGAGCTCATGGTTATAAATAGACTACTATGATTACTACTAAAGAACCCTTGAAGTACCATCCTTTTCAAGTATGTAGTTGGAACATAGCTGTGAGGATTTGATTGAGTATTAGTGAGGTCAGGTACTGATGTTAGATGATCAGTTGTGGATCCCGAAATCCTCCCAAAGGTACTGGATGGAGCTCTATCACTCCAGAGAATGCAGTTCCACTGCTGAACAGCCCAATGCTGGGGGGTTTTATACCCCTCTAGCTGGCACTTGACGTTGGGCATCGTATGACAAGAAACGTTGGCATCTAGTCATCCTTTTTAAACCTGTTCAGATTCTAATTAGGGGCTGCACAGTGCATCATATGTTATCTGCAGGAGTGGATTGATTTGCAAAATCCAAAATTTGATTCAGTTCAGTAAATGTAAAGATTATATGGAAACGTTTAATATATTATTGTTTTATTTTTAGTTTGTTACAGCATTCAACCTTATGAAAGAACAGTTCTGGGGTAAAAGCGGTGCCCAATCTAATGCTCCAGCCTATAGCCTATATATGTGAACCCCAAACCAACACACTGGCCACAAAAGTCATGATATGACAGTACAACATTGTATGATGCAATACGCTGCGGTGTACTATGGCTTTGTTCACACAGCAGGTAAAAGTGGCCCAAGTCTGATCTTTTTCTTCATATGTGACACAGATGTGTGTCTGTGTGTCAGTGTGAGCAGCAAAACACACTGAATCTGACATTTTCAATTCCGATTTGAGACGCTTTCATATGTGGTACTGAAATCTGATCCGTATCTGTGGCAATGCGACTGAACAGCCAGATCAGAATTCATGCGACTTTTATGTCAATCCAACTGGACATTTGTCATAATTTCGCGCTGCTGAGACTCATAAACATTTAGGCTGATGTTTCTGTGCCAAAAAATTAGAGGCGTATCCAAAACCCTCCGTGTTCGGAGAGGCCGCAGGAGAACGAGGCTGCAGCGTCAAAGAACAGTTAAAAGTCTCAAAGCAAATTTTAAAGAATCTGAAAAGACGAACCAAAGAAGTGACCGTGCCCTTTTTATGGCTCGAACACATTCTGGGTGATGAGCCCAGCTGTCAGTCAGTGAAGCTTCATGATGGCTCCTGTGATGCTGGCGAAAGATGAAGCTGATCCTCCGGGAGCGACTGGCGTTCGTTGGCAGTCGTGATTGTTTACCTCTGGATGAGCCGTGAAGTAGCGATCTGCTGAGCAGCGAACTGATCTTTTGCGCATGTGGGTCAGTTTAGGAGCTGATCTGTTCAGACAGCTCACATTTAAAAGATATTGCGAACAGCCAAACAAAAAAATCGGATTTGGTGAGGAAAATCAGACTTGGGCCACTTTTACCTGCTGTGTGAACGCAGCCCTAAATATTAAGAAAATAAAGGAACTGTTACTCCTGTTGCTTTGTTACATCTTTAGCTAATTGTTATTGGGACACTTTTTCTTACCCCCCCAGCCACTGATGGCTGTGGCATCACCGGAGACCATGTTTGCAGCGTTCAGGAGCTTTGTGCCACTTTTGCCGTATTAATATAACTCAGAAGATCCTGATCTTAGATACTGAGATCACATCGAAATGCTGAAGTGATGTTTTGTGTGTGGAATCCAGCGTGTCATCTGAAGTGTGTGTGTGTGTGTGTGTGTGTGTGTGTGTGTGTGCACTCTGTAGGTGTGTTTGGAGACCAGCTGACGGTGCTGCGCAGCCCGCAGTATGTGACCTTCAGGGAGGGCCAGTGGCCGCTGGCTGGAGAGAAGATTCCTGATCTGGTGGCGCTGACCATGGGCTTCTCTGTCCAGGAGGTAACGCAGATTTAGCTTTACTGGTTAATAATAAAACACTGGATTGGGATAGACCCCGTGTGACAAACACAAGTCGGGGCATTGGCACAATCCTGTTCGGCCCGCAGAATTATTTTATTTTCTATTACTATTGGCCAATTTCATTGTTAGCTGCACTACTGTTCCCAGCATGCACTGCAATGTAATGTGTGCTCCCACCCCCTCCCCAACAAATATCTGTGGGACAGCAGCAAAAAAACAAACAAAAAAAATGGTTTTAAAAACCTGCTGTACATTGGGGACATTTTCAGAGCTGTAACAGCGATCTGCAGCTAATGTAGTCTGTTTATATAAAACGGTTTTTATTTAAAATTATTTTTGAATTGTTTCTAATAATAGTGGCTGTTTTTGCTGTTGTAGTTTTGTCATAAATTTTATAAACACTCACGAGTTGTTTATTAAACAGTCATAGGAAAATGTTAAGTAAAAATAAGCCTAAAGGCCTCAGCGTACTTCTTGCGAAACAAAATTCTCGAGGGTTGCGCGAAGCCGAAATCGCCTTCGTGAGATTACAAGCTTGCATACTTTCTGCGGTTTCGTGTTGCCTGTTGCAGATGCTCCACGTGACGCTATGACATTTTATGATAAGTTTCATGATGGCTGGAAAATGATTCTATCACAGTTCTAACTATCGCGACGTTTGAGTTCAGAATGCTGCCATCATTTAAGGTGGAACGAGGAAATTCCAACAAGAAGCTGGAGAATAGAAAGCCAACTTCAGCCTCGTCCTCTTGTGCACCTGAATATAAGATAATCTATATGTTTTGGTGCTCAGTACTAGTTAGTACTACTGAATAACAGACTTAACATTTTACATTTAGGAGATATTCATTGTTAATTAACAAATGCATGTGTTTTACAGTGTGTCTGCCAAAGCCGGAGCTCCTCAAAGTTGTCCATCTTTGTTTAATGGCACGCCTCTTTTTTACCGACCAATCAGAGGCTCTGTTGCGTAGCGTCTTCGTCCACAGAGTTCGCCCAACTGCCGTTTGCACAGCACAGCGAACAAAGCCTCCTCACGACGTCTGCAGTTGTTTGTTTTCTCCGCAATTACGTCATATTGTTCGCTGAAGCCTGGCGAACGTCGTCTCCACAAGAAGTCCGCTGAGGCCTTTAGGGATTTGTTGAGATTTTTTAATATGGTCCTTTCAGTGGTTTAGTTTGACACCCCTGGAATTGACCAATGAAAAGTATGAGTTTAGCTTTTGCTGAATCCTGTACTCTCACATTTATTGGTTTGTAACTCTGTTTGAAGTCCATTTTGTGTGTTTGTTGTGTAGGATCTTGACTGGCCAGGCTTGGCCGCGGGCTCCCTGTTCCAGCGTCCTCGAGCTACTGCGCTAATCGCAGTGCGCGGCGTTGGCAGTTTGGATCTGCCCTCAAACACCTCCTCATACCCCCTGGAAAACGTAAGCATATCTCATTCTCAAATTCATTGTATTTGGCCATGACAAGCTTTTTACGTATAAGTAGAAGTGTTTATTAGGTGTGACTAAATCTCACATCTCTGAAATGCTAATTTTATAGGAGAAGCAAAAATATTCTTCACCTTAGTGAATGTTCAAGGTTTATTCCAAGCAATTTTGGTCAATTCTTGGTCAATAGTTGGCGCCATTTTGAGGAGCGAATCAGGGAGTGACTGCTCTGCGCGACACATTCAGTTTGCTGTGCTTTGTGAATGATTCACTTGCATGAAGCCGAGAGACGAGAGAGACACACACCTTTAATTCAGTGTTTTCACTCCAGGTTTGGAGCCGCTGCACTGTATAGTTTAGTGTTTCTCTCTGCTGTTCACCTCGTTCAGCTCAAGAAGGGATTAATTAGCTAATAATATCAGGTATTTTAACCAGGAAACCACAGTTATGCAGTGCAGGGGTTTCAGGACTGGAGCTGAACTCTGAACTAACTGCACTAGCAAACTTACAGAATCACGTCTGTCAAAACACGACGTCGTTTTCTGACCCACGACATTCAGCCTGATATTTTTACGTTAATGTTTCTCCATTCAAACCTCATTCAAATCTCCAGAAACAGAGAGTATATAAGTTATACCGGCGGTCTGCAGCTCCGTTAGGGGGACGACTGTTCATCTCTCGGCTGATAACGTTAGCTAAAGTTATCTGAAGGCTAGCATTGATCACATCTGTGTTAATTAGCTGATGTCGTTACCCTCCTATGATATCAGAGTGTTTCTCCTCTTTATGAACACCATGGGATCCTTTACCCACCCTGACGTGAAGAGCCGGTGGGCTTCTGTGCTTTTAAATGCTGTGAGAGACTCTCAGAATAGGGAGAGGGGCTGAGTATGAGATCAATATAAATGTCAGGAAAACACAAATTTGGTGTCTTTCCACCAGTTTAAGTGGGATCAGGAGTTCAGGGGGAAACTGTATTAAGGTCACAGACTATTTTATCAACTTTTTCAAGGTCACGTTTTTTCTCTTCCAGAGTAAGGAGAGTAATTTTAGCCATCTTTCACCTCTAGTTACGTTCGTGTGGAGCAGTGAAGCCAGAAATTCGGTTTCAAATATGTAACAGGAATATCATGTGACTGAGGGATTGGTTTGTGCGTCATTCATTAATTTGAAGGGTAGCTGCTGTTTTTAGTTGTGACAAAATATAGAAAAACATTAGAAGGAATTTGGTGAAGCAACTATCGTGTGATTTTTTGGTTGGGTTTCTTTGGTACTGATCAGAGAAGTTGGTTAAGCTGTGGGTGGAGCTGGAAAAGCCTGAAAGTGTTTGGTTTATGGTTAATATGTGGGCGGACAGACTTTCTGTCTGGTCGTTTTTTCTTTTTTCTTTTTAGTATTTTCGGTACAAAAACAGACAATCCAACAAACAGACAGACAGACATACACAAAGTCACACAGTTAATTATAATAAATTCAGACGAGGTCCTGTCCCAAACTTTATGTAAGAGTCAATCACTGCAAACCGGACGAGCTCTCTGGTCATTTCTTGAAGCAAAACCTCTCATTATTAGCGCCCATATCATATGAAAGCGACACCACTAACTCATTTTTTTGACCTAAGCCAATTGATTAATAAAAAAAGTTGATTCTCACCAATGTAATAAGTAATAATGTAATAAGATTTTATAGACTCAAGAAATTTTAGGACAAAGTATTGAAAGTTGAGTCATATGTTTTAAATCAAAAATTGTACCAAACTGAAAATGTTCATTGTTTAGAGATGAGTTTTAAGTATTTGAACATTACTAAATTTTTTAAACATTAATGAGTCAATGAAGATTTTGATATGCAAATTCATTTCTCTCTACTGCTGATTATCTCACTAGTATGTGTGATATTCTATATAACTTTACAAAAAAATACTAATAAACATAATTAATGTAAAGGAAAAGTAAAGGGACACGGACTTGGACTTCATCCATCAGCAACCCAGATTATTTATTTTAACAAAGGATTAATTAATCAAACCAGGTTTTGGATGATAAATACAAATAGTTCCAGATAGTTTTGAAACAAACACATTGACACATATGTGACACTTTTAAGCATATATATATATATATATATATATATATATATATATATATATATATATATGTATATACATATGTATGTATTTAAACATACATATATGTATATATGTGTCGGTGTGTGTGTATATATTTATATTTATATTTTATAATAAATTGATGTTAATATCAGTGTTTTTCTGAGCAAATAAATATGCACTGCCCAATTAAAAATGGCTTTTTCTCAAGTTTCAAACTTTTGTACAGCACTGCATGTATATAAATACTTTAGGACTTGTGGCTACAACATATTGTATTATGTTGTACCTGTATAGCTGCAACATCACCCACAGTTTAGTTTGCCTAGTGGCCAAGAAAAACCTTTAAGAGTAAAACAGGAAAATCCAAGTTATTGTAAACGTTGTAAAAGCGCTTTACATTAACCAGAATGATGTTAATTCTGCATTTTCAGGAATTAAGCAGACGCATGGTCAGGTGGTGTTCATGCTGGCTGGCTGATGTGAGTGAGCGATGTTAGTGTTGCGCAGTCATGGAGTTTCCATCTACTCAGCGGACAAAAATGAACTTCCCCCAATGCCACGAGACCTGTGGTCTGGTTTCCTGTGGCCTATTTCTCACTTATCACTCTTTATCTCTTTATCTCTCTCCAGCCTGTGCCCTTCACTCTGGACAGCGTGGCCAACACCATCCACACCCTGTTTGCCGAGAGCACCCCCGTGGTCCTGCAGCTCGCCCCCAGTGAGGAGGTAGGACTCAGTAAAGTCTACTCTGAAGCGCCAGCTGTGCATCGCCCATGTTATTCCACTTCATCTTTCCAATACAGCAAATCAGAATATTCAAATCAGTGCATGGAAATGGAAAACTGAGTCGCCAAAAAGCCCCCTGGCTTCTTCTGAACACGTCTCATTTAACATCTTTTGTGGAAACAACATTCAGAGATCAGATATAGCCATCTAGATGCGTCCTTTCAGGTCAGAGTGGGTGGGAAGGGGGCGGAGCTAATGCTGTGAAAGCACCTACACTGTTTTGGCTGGACTGTTTTTTCCAGACGTTGCTTGCAGACGCCATCATTTGTATTCATTCTTCATTATAAGAGCCTCACTCCTCCATTTTGCATGTTCGTGCCTGGGAGTGGAGTGTGCCGATTCTTATTGGCCCTTTAAACGGAGGTTTTTCAGAGACACATTCCAAACAGTGTTATGAGAAAAAAAGAAAAACAGGCAAGATGGCTGCGCGAGCGACTGAAGAAACCCACGAATGTGAAGATTTACTCCGTTAAGAAATTATGATTACCCCTATATTATCCTAGTTTAATGCTGTTTCAGTGTATTTTGGTCGTTTTCTTCATAACAAGCTTGAAAAATCGCTAGTATGCTGATGTTTCGGTAGCTAGCTAGCTAAATTTCTCATTCCACCTTAAATAGTCCAGCAGTTCTGACCCCTCAGGTGCCAGAATGTAACTGCTGCTTCATTTAAAGTGGAATGGGAAAATTTGAACCAGAAGCTGGTTGATAACTGACTTCAGCTTCATATCACTGAAGAATTAGCGGTGGGTGATAATAAATAATTGCCCCCCCGCTCTTTGAAGGAATATGATGCCCTAAATGTAACTAAAGCCCAGCAGTGAGGAGCTGAACTTTACCCTCCTCTGCTGTCACTGCAGACTGGCAGGGTCGCCTACAGAGCAGCGCTGGTAGCTGTTAATGAAGTGATGCTCATGCCCATTTCAGAGGGAAGATTTCAACCACTACCCTGTAACTCAGTTCCAAGGGGCAAGGAGACCCTCAAAATTAGGATTGGGCCAAAACATTGATGGAATCATAAACTTTGAATCAAAAATTGTGTCTGGAACCTGAAAACCTGAAAATGTGTCTGTTGTTTAGAGATGAGTCTTCATTTTTGAGTATGTGAACAGTCAGGAACGTTTAAAAAATCGAGTACTCAGAAGAGATTTTATATGTTTTATACATTATACGTTCCCATACTGAAGAACCAGTAGATATCCGGTTTATAATTCAAAGAAGGAAGCACAGAAATAGTACTGCAGCTGGCTAAAGAGGGTCTCTAGTGCAGGGTAAGCATATGGCTCAAAGCATATGACGCCTAGGAAGCATTTAGATTGACACTTGGTGTAAATTTCAAGCCACATGTGATGGACTATTGAACTGTGATCTAGGTCTTATATATAATATTAATAATAGTAATGGAAAGATGCTGTATGGTGTGATGGACGTGGTAGTCAGTAGGCTTAAACTGCTCATATCAGGGAAAACAGAATTCTCACTTTTTTGAATAAAGCAGTTTTATGTAACGCTTAAACACTGATACAGTTTCAAAATGCACCAGTCCATATATTCCGTATATGTAGACTAAGCTACAAAAACAGGCCGTTTTGGATTCATTGTTTCTTTGATGACATAAGAGCCAACTCGTTTACATATATCCGTAGCAGGTTAGCCCCGCCCACTTGCGCTGAAGTTCAGCTTGGACTGCTTTTTGAGTGAATCACAATACAGAAAAGCCAATCTGAACAGAAGTCATTTAGATGTTAGAAGTGGACATCAAGAAAAAAAGTAAATAATAAAATACAGCAGAAATGTCGGATGTGGCCCTTGAAGAGTCCTGTCTTTTTGTGGGGGTTGTTATTTTTGAATAGTGCCTTTCAGATTTATGTCCATTCCTAGTATCGATACGTTGCTAATATTCATAATAGTAATTTATAAACCAGAATTGTTTGGAATTAGTGTTAATTTACTCAGAAATCAGACACAATGCATCTCCACCAACAATGAACCTAAAGATACAGACACATGCTAAGGCTGTAGATCTCTCACTAACACCTCTGGGTGTAAGCTTTTTTTTCTGGAATTGCTTCAGAAAAAAAATTTTGCCACCCAGCAGGTTGTTTCCATCAGTTACTTTGAGCAATAAAAACACTTACATAATGTCTTTTTCTGTCACACAGGGTTTCTGTCTCTCACTTCCCTGACTTCCCTGTGACCTTTTGGTGTTACTTTTATTATCTTTCAGAGCAATAGTAGTATAATTAATATTTTGCTCTCACTTTATTTGGATGGTCTCCTATAGATTATCTACAGATGTTCAAATTGTTAACAGACTATCTGTTGAAACTCAGTTGATTCTAAACAGTGGTGAGGTTAGGGTTAGAATTTGGACTAAAATTGTGTATTTTAATATATTTTAAGTTGGCCGGCGTTTTATAACAGCAATAAGCCACTCGAGGCTGTGGTTTTATCACGGGGAAGGAAGTTTTACTCCGCTTCGCGCCGTGCCTAACCACACTCTTCCCCGTTGACCTGAGTTGAAGCAGATGTGTGATGATTTTGGCGTAGAGTTTGCACACTGCTTATTGGTGGAGCCTAAGCCTCTATTATTTATATTATTATCTATTATCTATAACTGCTACATTAGCCTCGTAGCTCCAGTGCAGAAGAAAAAAAGCAGACTTCAGACACCAAACATGTTTTGTCTGATCAGCTACTGGAACACGAGAAAAATTAGAGAACAAGGAAAAACAGTTTCCTCACACTCTTATTGACCTTGAACGACAAACACTAGAGTTTATGTCCTTTGAAAGTTTATTTATAATCAGTCTAATGTTGTAACCACAAAGTCAGCATGTTTTCACACCTTCACATCTGTGGTTTTTAAGCCTAGTCGCAGACGAGTGCTCATTCGGAAAGACTAAAAATGTGCACACGTCTCTGTAACGCTGACCTCAACAACAACCTCTGGTCTTCTTTCAAATGAATTGCAATTTCAAAGCAAATTAGAAATCTTTTGCTTAATTTTTCCAAGTAATGCGAGGTAGAGCCTGGCCGATATATCGTTTAGCCGTATGTATTTGCTAATCTTGACGACTCGCAGTTTTATTGGGATCAGAGAAAATATTGGAGATAATGTGGCAACAATTAAGAACTTTGTTTGGTCGAGGCCACATTGGCTTTCAAATGTGCGGGTGAGAAAAGATCAAAACCTTAGATCAGGGGTATCAAACTCAACCGCTAAAAGGGCCATATTAAAAGATCTCAACAAATCCGTGGACCAGAGAATGCCCTTCGCCACTTTTCTGTTGCCGCTGCTGTCTATCCAACTCTCCGGTGTTTTGTTTTGTAATGGTACCTAATGTGGTATACCTTCGTTATGGCCACACCATCTTCAAACAAGACAGATATTGGAAGTAAAAAGTAGTTGAGCTTCCATCTGTCTTGAAATCCCCATCTTTCACTGACCACCTCTCACTTTTGGCAAAGTAGGTCTTTTTTTAGCCAGCTGAGTGTTTATAGTGGTTAAACCGCTGCTGAAACACAGCTAGTGTGTCTGGTGATGTGATTGGTGCGGTAGGATTGAAGTGTAACTGCTGTCCCATATATTGCTGTTGAGAGGAGGGAGGTTGGAGTGCACTTCATGTTGCAGTGTATGCTGGGGATTGTAATGCAGCACACTGTGAAATGGGCTAATATTTAATAGAAAATGAGATTAATGTCGTTGGCCGGACAGGATCGTGCTATGGGTTTTGTGTTTGACACATGGGCCTTAGATGGTTGAGCCACCAAGGAGCCCAATTTGAGACACTCCTGTCCAGGCTGTGGTGCTGTCTGTGGTTCTGTATGGATGTGGAAGCTGGACTATAAGCAAGACAGGAGAAATATTGATGCCTTTGAATTTTGGTTCTGGGAAAAACCAATTCAGTGGAAAAAACCTTAATGCTTAGAACAGTTGAAGGTGGAAGACGATCAGCCACAAGATGGATTAATACCATCAGAGGAATCATGAACCAGCCATTCAAAAGCCTGGAAACCCAAACAGATAGAGAAACACTTTGGCCACCAGGAGTCAGAATCAACTTCTCTGCCCTTAATAATACTGTCTTAGGTTTTAGGCTAAAACCTTACTCAAAACTATCGTATAAAACAGCGTCTCGGACATCAGGCAGTGAATTCATAACCATTTCATATAATATCTTTGTGAGGGAGCTTTTAGAGGTGGATGTCTGGTTCCTATCACCACCACTGTGAACAGCTCTGACTCTGTAAGTTTCTCTAGAACAGAGCGTTTCACACCAAACCACTCTGAATGACTCTGTTTACATCTTAACCGTTTAATTCTACGAAATGAAATGAAATGTCAGAAAATCAGCTTAGTTTGCCCTAACTCTGCTTTTTCTGTGTCATGATTGGTGGATGACTTTTTATCTTGTTATATCAGCGTAGCAATGAATGCTGTATGGCTGCGCATTCATAGATGCTACATAGGCTTTGTTCACACTGCAGCTAAAAGTGGCCCAAATCCGATCTTTTTCTTCATATGTGACGCAGATGTTTGTGTGTCAGTGTGAACAGATAAACACACTGAATCAGACATTTTCAATTCCAGTTTGAGACGCTTTCATATGTGGTACTGAAATCCGATCTGTATCCGATATGCGGCAATGCGACTCAGTCTGAACAGCCAGATCGGAATTTATGCGGATTTTACGTCAGTCCATCTTAGGGTGATGTTCCTGTATCAAAAAAAAAGAAGAGACTGATCCAAACCCCATTCTGAAAGAGACGGCCAGACGCGGCCGTAGGAGAACGAGGCTGCAGCGTCAAAGAACAGTTAGTCTGAAAGCAAAGTTTAAGGAATCCGAGAATACGAACCAAAGAAGTGACCGCGCCCTTTTTACGGCTCTAACACATTCTGTTGTCTGTCAGTGAATCTTCATAATAGCTCCTGTGATGCTGGCGAAGGTGAAGCTGAACCTCCAGGAGCGACTGGCGTTCGTTGGCAGTTGTGATTGTTTACCTCTGGATGAGCCGCGTGAAGCAACGTGAAGCTCTGTTCTTGTGCGCATGCGGGTCAGTTTAGGAGCTGATCCATTCAGACTGATGTCGCATTTAGGTCACATTTAAACAGAAGTTGTGAACAGCCAAACAAAAAAATTGGTGAGAAAATCAGATTTGGGCCACTTTTACCTGCTGTGTGAACGTAGCCTTAGATATTAAGAATATAAAGCAACTGTTACTCCAGTTAGCACCACCACAGTCACCATGGTGTTGTTTTTGTAACATGAGAAAAGCTTCACTTGATGCATATTTACATAGATTTCTTTGTCCTTCTTTGAAAAATAAGCCACTTGACAACTCCTTGTGTTTAATGTGATTGGCTGTTCGCCATTAATGTCGCACTATCACGAGGCGTTTTTATTGGCTGAGGATCTAAACCTGAGTTAACAGATAACTGCCGTCATAAAACAAGTTCAGTTTGTTAGGCTTTGTGGAATTTTAGCTACGTGAAACAGACCCCTGACAACACCATCACCATCATTGTTAAACAGAACCATATCAAACCTCACACAAAAACTATGAAAATTGAAAGGTAATAAACAGAAACCAAAAGAAATTCTGCATTAATGTAATAATGGATTTACATTATTTAAGAATGTACGTTTGTGCTGTTTCTTGAAGGTTGAGAAATGTGACTATTGAGAACTGAGATAAATCAGCCAGCATCGTTTAACTGAAACTGCTAGAGTATAAACATTCAAATCTGAAATATATATTAAAAACAAAATGATCAACCTTTTGAACAAAGTGACCTGGGTATCATCACTTTAAACCTTCTATATGGAAGCCCAACACCAGCCATATGGTCATCATATATAAAGACTGCCTGTGATCTCCAAATAATACAAATGCTAATCCTTTCTTATATACAAAAACATTTATGCAGTTGTAGCTGCACTATGTACATCATTTTTGTTAAAATTGAAATTAAGTAGAATAATTATTTTAAATAATTCAGAAATGTCTGGTCGGGGCTTTTTCACACCAAATTTCACACCACTTTACTTATTAATGTCATACACACAGACTTAAAAGGAAGGTGATTAGGTCTCAGATGCAAAGTCAACATTATACTGATGAAGATAGTAGATGGTTGCCTTTGAATACTCTTTTAAACTTGCTCGCCAACATCAGATTCATCCACTCGGGGAAGGTTTCCGAAGCACAGTCCACCTTACAAAATGTTCTTCCGCACACAGCTTGCAGTTACACATTTCCACCAGAGAGGCCAAATCACTAAAACGCTGGTTTAAATAGTTCATTATACAATGAGATATTAAGATTAAGAGACCCTTATTAGTCTCAGAACCGGGAAATTTCACCTCCACATTTAACTCATCCATGCAGTGAAACACCATATACACACTGGTGAACACACACACACTAGGGGGCAGTGAGCACACTTGCCCAGAGCGGTGGGCAGCCCTATCCACAGCGCCTGGGGAGCAGTTGGGGGTTAGGTGCTCAAGGGCACTGCAGTCACGTACTGTCGGCTCAGGGGACTGAACCGGCGACCTTTCGGTCACGAGGCTGATTCCCTAACCTCCAGCCCAGTCTCCAGTATCACTCCACTGAGACGCCGTTGTTAAGCAACGACTTTGACAGCTGTAGGAGACGCTCAAGCCATTTGAACGTTTTTACTTCTTACTTTGCGCAAAAACAGAAAATGGACACTTTTTAAGATCAGATTTGACCGTCAGCCGATTTGGTCAGACTCTGAAGATGAGACTACACTAAATTCCCAAACTGTCATCACCACTGAGCAGCTTTTCAGTCGGCAGCTGTGACAGAAGAACAGCTAAACAACCTGGAATCAGCCAGAAATGAACCCAACACCATTCGCCAAACTAAACGGGCTGTAAGATGCTTTACAGACTGACTGGAACAAAACAACATTAATATTGATCAGGCAAAAACTGACAAAACTGAGCTGAACTTGATATTGCAGTAGTTTTATGGCTCAGTCTGATTTGGTCAGACTCTGAAGATCAGACTACACGTTTGGCGAATGGCATTAGGTTAATTCCTGGCTAATTCCAGGTTGTTTAGCTGTTCTTCTGTCACAGCTGCCGACTGAAAAGCTGCTCAGTGGTGATGACAGTTTGGGAATTTAGTGTAAGGAGCTGGAGAACGAACTGCCGGCTGTGCAGCGAGTGGGCGGAGTTCGTTACTGTGACGTAGCAACAAGCTGCTCGTTAAGGAACTATAATTTGGTGAAGGAACTGCGAACATTAAAACATATTAAACGCCGCGTTCACGGCCCAGTTTATTAATTTATTACTGTATTTATTTAACTATTGTATAAAAGCAATAGAACTCGAGGTCCTTCTCGTGTTCTATTGCTTAAGTATATCTATTGGTAGATTGTGTACAGAGTTTTTATTTCTACAAAACTATTCAAATTCAAATCTTAAGAAAATATCTCCTACTTGGAAACACAAATGTGGAACAGATTGTTGAGAATCTGCACTTTCCACACAACTTTTGTTTATTTCAATAAGCTGCGAGAGACAAATAATGAAAGGAAAAGTATCCAATGTATGTGTGTCTGTTTATTGATCTGGCTAACGCTGTTTTGTTTTTTTGTGTGCAGAGGCTGTATATGATGGGGATGGCGAACACAGTGTTTGAGGATCTGCCCGTCACTCTGCAGCAGATCAGAGCACGTCTGTCTCAGGACGGATCAGTGCTGCACTCTCTTCCACTCCATTCACTCAGCCGAAACAGCGAGGTAACACACGCACACACACGCGCGCACACACACACACATACACACACACACACATACACACACACACACACACACACACACACACACACACACACACACTGTCTGGCTGAATCTGGAGTGGCTCTCTGCTCCATTTATAGCAGTGGCGGAGGAAAACCTTTACACTTTTATTACAGTATTAGCGATACGAGCCCAGAGTTTGGAGCCAGTAAATATCAACAGCTAGGAAGTAAGAGAGCTAATCAGCCAGTTTGGCTATTTTAGTCCTGTCCTTCAGTAGTTACATACAGCAAGATACAAAAAGACAAACTGTCAATCTTAATTTGTTTGGCAATTAATTGTCATTGAATAAAATGTCATGATCAGGTCGGTAGAACCAAATATTGTAGCAACACCCAGAAATATAATAATATTTTGCCCTTAATAAACACCAATAATCTAATAACTGTGTAATAATGTTATACGTAATTATTTTTATTGGGAATTTATTACATTCTGAGGTTGATCATATGAAACACTATTATATTATTGGGATTCTGTCATATTTACAACTTGATCATCATTGATTTATTCTCAGTGTGTGATGTAATACTTTAAAAAGTCGTTGCTAAAGGTCTCTTACAGTTCATTCATGCATTAAAATATGGACTAGAAATGAACATTGTGATATAAAACAAAGTATTATATTATTTGAGAAAAAAAATATGATATTCTCAATAATTTAACAAAATATTACAAATTATTAACCTGAAAATGTAATACATTTCCAATAATGTAAAAAGATATTTCATTATCATGTACTCATGGGCAAGTTATTGGATTATTGGCATTTATTACATTTTTGACCAAGTTAAGTACAAAATATTGTCACATTTCTAGACAATATTATTGGGAAATCATTACAGTTTGTCTATTAAACATATTCTTCTATAAATCAGTGCTTTTAAATATATAGTAACATTGGCTTTCTTTCCCGATGCTGATGGGAGGTTTGCAGAGGTTGTTGTGGCAGATTGTATAACTCTATCAACAGGGCTGAGCTCTGTTGGTCTGTATGGGTAATTTTGTTGACAGTTATGTTTTTTCAGCTTTGGCAGTTTGTCTGTCCTCAAAACACAGTTGTTTTCCCCCAACCTGCGATACTCGTAATAGTTTATTTCTCTACAACCATTTTTCAGACCTGCTTTTTTCTTCAGTCATCGCAGTTGATTAATGACCAAAACAAAAAAATAGGCAACAAAGGAAAGCTTGATGTGGGAGAATGGCAGTTTTGACGTAGCTGTGCGCAAAGAATCCATCAGTATTACTTATTAATTTGCCCCAGTGTTTGTTCTGATTCTAAGTTGGGGAACAGAACACAAAAAGAGCTGTTATTCAAAAATGACAATTGTCCTCTGAAGCATCCCGAATAGAAGAAGAGACATTCTGTATTTGTCTTGTGTCCATCTCTTCTTATTTCTTTAAACATGCTGGACTATATTGTCACTGTGGGAACAAAAACCCAGATCTCCAAGACAGTAACTTTAGAGGAGAAACATACATATGTATATATATGTATGTTTCTCTGCATGCTTAGTTAGCCCCCTTTTACCCTGTTCTTCAGTGGTCAGGACCCCCATGGACCCTCACAGAGCAGGTACTATTTGGGTGGTGGATCATTGTCAGCACTGCAGTAACACTGACGTGGTGGTGGTGTGTTAGTGTGTGTTGCGCTGGTCTGAGTGGATCAGACACAGCAGTGCTGCTGGAGTTTTAAACTCCGTGTCACTGCTGGACTGAGAATAGTCCACCAACCAAAAATATCCAGCCAACAGCGTCCTGTGGGCAGCGTCCTTTGACCACTGATGAAGGACTAGAGGATGACCAACACAAACTGTGCAGCAGCAGATGAGCTATCGTTTCTGACTTTACATCTACAAGGTGGACTGACAAGGTAGGAGTGTCTAATAGAGTGGACAGTGAGTGGACACAGTGTTTAAAAACTCCAGCACCACTGCTGTGACTGATCCACTCGTACCAGCACAACACTCACTAACACACCACCACCACATCAGTGTTACTGCAGTGCTGAGAATGATCCACCACCCAAATAGTACCTGCTCTGTGAGGGTCCCTGGGGTCCTGACCACTGAAGAACAGGGTAAAAGGGGGCTAACAAAGTATCAGAGAAACAGATGGACTACAGTCTGTAACAGTAGAACTACAAAGTGCACCTATATAGTAAGTGGAGCTGATAAACTGGACAATGAGTGTAGAAACAAGGAGGTGGTCATAATGTTATGCCTGATCAGTGTATGTGTGTATGAGAGAATTACATAGTCAAGAATCACATAAGTAATACATTTTATATATATATATATATATATATATATATATATATATATATATATATATAATATATATAGTGGTAGTGGAGGAAAATCTTTATACTTGATATAATGTTTAATATAATGGTGTACCATGATAATTTAGGTGAAATATATTACTCATACAAGCCCAGGCCCAGAGTTTGGAGCTACTATTAATGGACAGCTAGGAATTCCTTCAGTAGTTACATACAACAACATACAAAAAGACAAACTGTCAATCACACTTTGTTTGGCAATTACAACCCCATTACCACTGTGTTTCATCACCTCTTCTTTTAACAACTCTGTAAGTGTTTGGGAACTGAGGAGACACTGCTGTAGTTTTGAAAGTGAAATGTTTTTCCGTTCTTGTTTGATACAGAATTTCAGCTGCTCATCAGTTCAGAGTCTCCTTTGTTGTATTTTTCATTTTATAATGTGCCAAATGTTTTCAGTGGTGACAGGTCTGGACTGCAGGCAGGTCAGTTTAGCACCCAGACTCTTTAATAAGGAGCAATGCTGTTGTAATACATGCAGAATGTGGTTTGACATTGTCTTGCTGAAATAATCAAGGCCTTCCCTGAAAAAGACGTCGTCTGGATGGCAGCATATGTTGCCAAAACATGTATATACTGTTCAGCATTAATGGTGCCTTCACAGATGTGCATGTCACCCATGCCGTGTGCACTAATGCGCCCTTATACCATCATGAATACTGGCTATTGAACTGTGCACTGATAACAAGCTGAGTGGTCTTTAGCCCGGAGTGTCCATGATTTCCAAAAAGAATTTCAAATGCTGATTCGTCGGACCACAGGACACTTTTCCACTTCCCCTCAGTCCATTTTAAATGAGCTCAGGCCCAGAGAAGGTGGCGTTTCTGGATGCTGTTAATATGTGGTTTGCTTCTGTAGTTTGAGTTTTAACTGTTTTCACAGACACTGGTTTTCAGAAGTGTTTCTGAGCCCATGCAGTGATTTCCACTACATGTCTGTTTTTAATGCAGTGCTGCCTGAGGGCCCAAAGATCACGACCAGCAAATACTGGTTTTTGGCCTTGTCCCTTGCATGCAGAGATTTCTCCAGATTCTCTGAATCTCTTAATGCAGTTATGTACCATAGATGATGAAAAGCAAATGTTATTCTTGAATTGTTGAACTATTTCATCGTGCAGTCTTTCACAGAGTGGTGAACCACTTCCCATCTTTACTTCTGAAAGACTTCACCTCTCTGAGATGCTTTTTTAGACCCAGTCATGTAACTGACCTGTTGCCAATCAACCACAAGGTGTTTTTTTAGCATTACATAGCTTTACCAGCCTTTTGTTGCCCTCGTCCCAACTTTTTTTAGAACCAGTTGTTGCCATCAAATTCACAATGGGCAAATATTTTTCAAAAAACAATAAAATTTCTCAGTTTCAACCTCTGATATGTTGTCTTTTACTATTTTCAATGAAATATGGGGTTTAAATGATTTGCGTTTTGTTTTTATTTACATTTTGCACAGCATCCCTACTTTTCTGTAAATGGGGTTGTAATTGTCATTCATTAAAATTTCATGATCAGGTCTGTAGGACCAAGTATTGAAGTAACACCCAGAAATGTGATGATATTTTGCCTATAATAAACACCAATAATCTAATAACTGTCCAATAATGTAATACAGAATCTAAATGATTTCTAAAAAAAAATTTGTAATGATAATGTAATACCTAATTTCATTATTTGGAATTTATTACATTTTGAGGTTAATCATATGCAAAATTATTTTGCTATTGGGAATTTATCATTTTTACCAGTTGATCATTTTATTCTTATTCTTAGTGAATGATGTAATACCAATGTAATTATACAGATTGCTTAACAACTCAGAGGCAAATGAGTGGTGGTTTAGGGATGCAGTTTGCACAGTGCTAATTGGTGCTTATAAGCACATATTACTAGTCAATTGCATTACCCTTGTAGTTCCAGTGTAAAATTAAAGAAGCAAACTTCAGACACCAAACCAATCTTGGCTGACTAACTAGATTTGGGGTTATGGGGACAACTGTGTAAATTTTGCTAAACTATTCTATTTAAGATTGATACGAACTCCTAGACCATTCTCCTATTCTAAACATAAACACAAAGCCAACACCTGCCCCTACTGTGTCGTTTAATACTCACTAAACAGCTCTGCGTGTACTGATTTAAAAGCTTATTTAATGTTAGATCGGAATCATTCACGGTTTGACAGCAGACCAAGGTGGTAATCCTGTAAATGTGCTTGGTAGCACGCATGCGGTTGTTTGCAGATGTGCTCACTTGTGGTAATTTGTTTTTCTCTCTTATCCAGGCTGATCTGCTGTTCCTGTCTGAGGTTCAAGTGTTGCATGACATCTCCGCTCTGGTAAGTCTCTTCACTCTCTGTTCTACAATATAAAACCAAGACAGCACTGATGTGTTTGAGACCACTGAAGGGTTACACAATGCACCTATACATACCCTGAGTTGTCAACTAATTAGGTACACCTACCTTGTACCTACACTCATTGGCCATTTTGTTATATAAATGCACTTTGTAGCTTTTATGTTGCTAAACAATTTATAAACTTTCAAAATTGACTTTATGTGAAATGCTTATAAAAACAGAAAGTGGTGATTTAGTATATTTTGTTTAATCTGTATTAAATTGAATTCAGGGTAACACTTCATTTGGATAGTCCAGTTTAGATGTTTTGTAGATACTTTACTTTCAAGTTACATTCAACTAAATATCTACTAAATGGACCATCATTGTCTTAAACACTTTAACCCTAACCTTAACCACAACCCAAAACCTAAACCCAACCCTGGTCCAAATCCTAACGCTAAACCCCACCACTGTTTAGAACTAAGTTTCAACAGATAGTTTAACAGTTTGAACATCAGTAGATTATTTATAACTACCCAAATAAAGTGAGACTGAATCCAGTGCACACACACAATATTTTACATTTTGTCTTTTGTTAATATTCATTTTTTTGTGAATTTTTATTTGTAGGAGGTAACATTTTTGCAAATGAATTCCTGATTTGATGCCTGCAGCACCTTTTCAAAATAGTTGGGACAGGTGCATGTTTACCACCATGTTACATCACTTAGTGCTTCCTTTTAATCATTTAGGGACTCCAGTTGATCCAGTTTTGAAAGGGAAATTTTTGACATTCTTCGGTTATACAAGTTGCACATCCTGTTTGTTACACGTGCAGAATGTTTTTTTCCCCATTGTCATGATGAAATAAGGATTCGTTGCAAACACTCATTGAGGAATGTTTTTCTTTGATTATTCGTGATGCATTTTTTTGTGGCGAGACTCGACTCATCTCAATAGATCAGCTACTGTCACTGTGTTGTCCACCTATATAGTGAACCGCTATGGCAGGTGTTTCTGACGTAAATAAGGACACAGTTGCATGTTGTGAAGGAATTTTAAGGATGTAGCTTATTTCACATCCACGTTTTGTCAATGTAGCAGTGTTTTTCTGGGCTGATAAGGTCGTTTCAGTAGTGATTAAGGCCATGACTCTCTTTGTTTCAGTCCCTCTCACTTCTTTTCTCTCTCGGTATGTCTGTATATAACATTATCTCTGTCTCTTGATTCTTTATAATGGTCTTTCTTACTCTCTTCCTATCTCTCCAGCTGCAGAGGCATAAGCACTTGGCCAAGGACCAGGCTCCTGACCTGTTCTCCTTGGAGCTGGCCGGTTTGGAGGAAATTGCTCGTCGCTACGGCAACGATTCACCCCAATTCCAGGATGCCACCAAGATTCTGGCATCTGTGCTACAGAAGGTAAACACTAGAGGGTGTTTTGTCAAACATCTCAGAAGAAATGGTAATCTAGAACCCATTTGGCCTTGAGTAGACACAAGATCAGCACTGCTGCTCTGAGGTACTGATGCATATGTGCCATGTTCCAAATGAATCACTTTCCTTTTCCTTTTGGAAAGTATCCAAAGGGGAATCAAACTCTTTGGCCCTCCAGGTCTGGAATCTAGCATTCTACCTCAGTAAGAACACCTCATTGGACTGTTCATATTGAACTTGGCACGTTAGAAGAGGGAAAATAGGAACTTCCTGCAGGGCGGTGGAGGCCAGGACTCGAATTTCACACCCCTGCTAAAAAAGATTGAAAACTTTCGGCCCAAGCAGCTTTAGGCCCAGTCCCATCTCTTATTTTTACCGCTACCCCTTGTTTTCGTGTTTTGTCTTGTCCCTTGAAACTGCATTACAGGGTAGTGGTTGAAATCTTCCGTCTGAAATGGGACCCTCAAATAAAAGAGCATCACTTCATTAACAGCTACTAGCGCTGCTCTGTAGGCGACGCTGCCAGTCTGCAGTGACAGCAGAGGAGGGTAAAGTTCAGCTCCTCGCTGCTGGGCTTTAGTTACATTTAGGGACACATATGCCATCAAAGAGGGGGGCAATTATTTATTATTACCCACCCCTAATTCTTCAGTGATATGAAGCTGAGGTCAGATATTCACCAGCTTCTTGTTCTAAATTTCTTGTTCCACCTTAAATGGAAATTTAGCTACCTACCAAGACATCATCAAACTACTAGCGACTTTTATGCTTGTTGAATATTGGTTCCAATTAGAGATGGAGGAATGTTGGAGGTACTTTTGCTGCAAATAGACGGTGATCGCAAAGACCAAACACTGTTTTCTTCACACACTGACTGCACAGCCAATAGTGTGCTATGCAGGGATTAAATATATAGACAAGCTGTTTCTCTTCACATGCACAGCTCAAAAAATTACAAAGGCTGGAAAATTTATCGTTTTTATATTGAAAACTCAATTTAAAAGCTGTGTTGAAATCACAATTTTTAGGGGGGTTTTTTTTGTTTTAGATTTTAAGTAAAGAAAAATTTACCTAAATAGTGTGGAGTTTTCGAACTGCCTGTGGAGGAGTTTGACCAATCAGAAGCAACCAAACACAAAAAGTCCAAAGGTTCAAGCCTCAAGCCAGAAAAAAAGTGCATATTCTGATTTTCTTGGGAAAATAACTAATTAGAAAATAATTACAGTTTCATTCGCAGCCTGAACAATCATAGACATCACCCCAGATTGTTTGATTACAAACCTTTAAAAATTTTTAAAACATGATCACTACTCTCACTCCTAGAGTTGTGTCTAAAGCTTGTGGAGCAGTAATCGACATTAGGGGCATTTTTTAAATAATTAAATATGTATATTTGTTTTGTAGCCTTTATAGAAAAGCTGTTCAGGGAATACCGACTGTTTTTCAGCCTTACAGTACACAAAATATGTGGTTGCAGTTCTTATGTAAGTAGATATTAGTACTTCTGTATTTGTTTTTTCGAATTTTATGTCCATATCGTGCAGCCCTGCTCCGCACTCAACTCTGCAGTTAGTCCCTGGATTTAGTTGGTGTGTTTGAACAAGAAAATCACAAAACAGTGTTGGACCCTGTTCTACTAGGACTGGAAATGGACACCCTTGGTATATGACAGAAGAGCTTGTTATTTATCTGATTAGTTGAGTTAAGTGTGTTAGGAGCTGGGAAATGTGCACGGTGGGGGTCTTCCAGGACCAGGCATGGGAACCACTCGTATATGAGAAGTTTTTCTACAGCGCTTCACTCTCCACAGTACTACTGAAAAGTTCTGACCACAGGCGTAATCCCTTCAGTCGTAACCGCCATTGTCGTTCTGCCTTTTGCTTTCTAGTTTGCTGACGACGTTTACAGTGTCTATGGCAACAACGCAGTGGTGGAGGTGGTGACCGTGAAGACTTTCGAGGCTCCACTCACCAGGAAGTCTCGCTCCATCCTGGAGACCAAGCAGATTGTGAGTATATCTACATGGTCAATCATGGGTTTGTTCCCTGCTGATCTCTGCTGCCACACAACTGAAACTATCAGTGAGCGCGTTCACATGCACTTAATAATCTGATAACTGCAGAAAATCAGATTTTGTCAGTAATCCGATCAACACATTTACACGCACGTGAGTAGTCAGATAATGGGGAAACTCCGGGTCTACATGAGTCAGACAGTAATCAGATTTCTGCTTTGCAACCGGCCAATAAACTCAGAAGAAGACGTGACGTAAACGTAACGTAAAACTTAAACTTCATACCACAGCTTAACATTGCGCCACTTTACCTGAAAATATGAACATACATCATCTAGAAGATGAAGATTATTCAAATCCTTCATTTCGTGTTTGGTTTCAACGTCGCTTCAAAAGTGTTTTGCTCTCGCGCGACACTGCTTGCTTATTTCTGGTACCGCTGTCCGTTTCGCGCATATGCAGATGGAAAAATCTGAAAGAAATCAGAGTAAGAGTTCACATGTGCTGAGAAATCTGATTACTGAGCTAAAATCCAGCATCTTTATTGGATTTCTGAATCGGATTTCCAGATCGGAGTATGGTGTTTACGTGACCATTTGAATAATCAGATAACTGCAGAAATCAGATTATGATGCAAAAGCACTCAGTGTGATGTAGTATATTAAAGCAGTAGTTTAATTTACACAAATTTACCCCAGTTAAAGTCATTCAGCCAAGACCTGTTTGCTTTAGTTTTGTACTGGAGCCACGACACACTTAATGAATCAGTTAGCATCTTGCAGAATTGCATATCCTTGCGTCAAAGCACATTGTTATCTCTAATCGTCTCGCTTATGTGCTTTCTGACACTGTATAAGATTGGCTAATTGGCTGCATTTCAAATAAGAGCAAAACTGTAAATTTTAGTGTTCACTTTAAGACAATAACACACTGATTATGAATGAACTTCAAGCACCATATTCTATAGTGCAGCGTTTTTTTGTTTGTTTTTTTTTGTTTGTTTTTAAATGAAAGCTGTGAAACACTTTCCAGTCTCCTCTTTCATTACGTTTCAACTTCTCATTTGTTTAAGACAAACTCTGGCCATACCAGAGCATTATTTTTAGCATCACATGCTGCACTGAAAGCACATTACAAACAGACGTCTGCCCAGACGCACATGTTGTTTAGTTATTATTATATCAAAACCACAGAGGCCCTTACAGGAAAATATGCAGTTGACCTACTTTTGGTCTGCTACATGGTAGCTAATGAGCTAATGAACGCACATTCTCAACAGCCCACAGTCTTAACAACTTCTTTGATTCTTCTGAAATCGAGGAACTGTAACCTCACCACGAACTCTCACCAAAACTCTTACCTTTCCCCTTAATGTGAGCGTCAGTATAACAGCCAAAGACTGGCTTTGCATGCATGCTTTCAGACAGCTTTGTGTAGAGCAGAGGTATTCAAACCATAGGCCCCCTATTGGGTCGTGAAGGAATTGCAGGGGAGGCGTGGGTGAGAGTTGAGAGAGAAAATTGCAAAAAATAAATATTAAAACAACTCGATAAAACTGTTGTTACAAAGCTCTTATTGTCATGTGCTGCTTTTTATTTACCTTTATTTTGTTAGCCAGTTAGTGGACAAATGGGATGATTTGACCAGATTTTCTTCGTACATATGCGGTAGTAGTTTGTTTATTGACAAGTTTGTTTTGGTTGAGCATGGCCTCAAGTTCTCTAAAAATTAGAAAGGGGACCCAAGTGGCGCAACCGTCTAAACGTTTTTACTGAGTTCTCTTAGTCATCAGATTCATCCACTTGGGGAAGTGGGCGAAAAGGCAGTGTTGCATGCAGTTACACATTTCAACCAGAGAGGTCTCTAAATCCCCAAATATTACATACCGCTTTAAATAAAAAATTTACAGACTTTTATTTTATACTTCCAGTAACTCGCTAGGGTCCTCAGCATACCGTCCTATCCCTGAGATTACTTTAATGACACAAGCCAAAAGGAGTAAGAATATCTACTCTAGTAGACTGGAACAGAGGCAATTCTGAGCTTTCTCTTTATTGGAGAGGCAGATTAACTGGCTCTAGTAGAGCTTCTTGTTCAACAGCCCAAGCTTTTTTCAATAGCCGATTGGCCTTAAAGTTGCAGTTAGTAGGATTCTTACATTCAGAAAGCATTGCGAGGTAATAAACAATAGGGTAGAGTGTCATTATATGGAAGCTTTACAGGGTAGCTTTTCCTGCTAAGACTAAGTCCTAGAAGTACAAATCAAATTAATCCAAATTTATTTTTAGTTACAATTTTGGTTCCCTGGATTTATGAAAACAAGATAACGGAGATAAAACAATTATTGTGCCTCATTCCGTTCTGCAATGTTGCTCTCATATTGTTTTGTGTTATAAATCCAGTGCACATCTTTCCTTTACTGCGCTTTCACCCCTTCCTAAAAGCCCAAACTCATCTAATTTATTTTGTTTAGTATTTTTATATATGGTTAGGAGTGTGTGTGTGTGTGTGTGTGTGTGTGTGTGTGTGTGTGTGAAAAAAAAATGTATATATAAAACTTGTATCTCCATTTTGGTCGGTTTTCAGTTTTTGACATAATTTGAAGATACCTGTTGTCCTTTACATTGTGTGTAAATTTAATGATGAATGGACCAAAAGAAAAAACCCAAAATTACTTGTCAAAAAAAAGGCTGGTTCCATTGACTTACATTGAAAATTAAGTAGGTTTATTTCTTGTCCTGTAAAGTTACCATTTTGGAGATGCGAGGTTTTGTGCCGACAGCAGCAAATTTAAATTATATGTATATCATTCATTGGAAATCCACTGTAAAAATGACAAGTTTTTTGAAGTTTAATAAATGCATGATGTTTCCAAAGTCATTGAGTAATCGCATTAAATAATCGTGATTCCAATATTAATCCAAATAATCGAGCAGCCCTATACAGAACATGACGAGCAGCTTGCAAGTGGGTTTTTAAAATATATTAAAGTGGCTTGATGAAGAATAAACAGACGTTTATAGAATGAAATGAAACCGTAGCCCCAGCGCAGAGAAACGCAAATCTCAAACATCAAGACAGACATTCTGACCACATCATGTTTAGCCGTGTCTCTCTGGTTGCTCAGAATAGAACTGAGAGCTTGAGAAAGCAGTTCTTGTAAAACCTGCTGCAGTCTGATCTTATAATCTTCAGTCTGTCTTTTATACCTGCCGCCGCATTAAACACACGCAGCTCAGAAACAGCAGCACATGCCACTAACCTACTTTCTGTTTTCTAAAACGTACCAGTCACCTGAATGTGTTCTTTTATCGTTTGTTGCAGAGCAACCCAGGAAGCCCCTACAACCTGGCCTACAAGTACAACTATGAGTATGCGGTGATCTTCAACATCGTGCTGTGGCTGATGATCGTGTTGGCTTTGGCCGTCGTCGTCATTGCTTATAACCTTTGGAACATGGACCCCGGCTACGACAGCATCATCTACAGGATGACCAATCAGAAGATCCGGATGGACTAATTGTCGCGCTCCCCCTTGCATTCCATTCCATGTTGTTGAGTGTGTGTATATGTGTGTTTCTCACTTAAATAAGATTCCATTTGAACCTTCAGTGTATGTATGCTTCTGAAATGCGTTGTACAAAGACACGTCACATTGAACTGTAAATGTTAAATGAATATTTGAAGAATATTTATTGATGCCTGCTGTTTGGTAGAATCTAGAGACCAGCTGAGTAAAGTTTAAGTTCAGATTTCACCCCTAAAAATGCTAATGTGGCTAGAAATTTAATGGAAGGTTGTAGGAGGTACATAAAGTTCAAAATTTTGGATGACTTATTTATATATTTTAGAAAATATAAACCAGTTTTTTTGAAGATATGAGCAAGCTGATAAGCCGCTAGAGTCCAGAATGATGAACAGAGCTGTAGATGATTCCATAATAATTGAGAAAGCTGTACAACATTGAAAATTATCATCATAAATTTAGTGAGGTGATCAAATGATCATCATAAAATCATAATAACAATATATTATTAATCAATTCTTTGAGTTTCCAAACGTTTCCTGAAACTTTGAATTAAACATTTTAAAAGTTCAGTTTGTGTATTAAATAAAATGACAGTAATTGTTAATTTTACACGATAACAAACTGTTATGCTAATTTCTGTCCACTAACTTTTATTCACTATTAGCCACATTAGCATTGCCTGTAAGATGAACTGGCCGATACAGGATGTAAATAAGTTCACTGTCATTGCATTTCTTGGTAAGTGGAAAATGTACAGGCTTAATTTGTCATGCTACACTCGTGATTGTGTGCTGTGCTGTTTTCTTGTGTTCCTGAATTGTCTTCAAATTGAAACCCAGCTTTATTTATTGTGTTATTGATTTGAAAGATCTCTTTTTATTCCTGATACACTGGACATGCAATATAATGCTCATCACATCACATCCATGTGCATTTGTACAGCTTATGGTACAGATACAAATGTGTAAAATTGATGTGCCGAACGTAGAAAACGAGTGTTTGATTATTTCTGGCGTGACCAGAGTTTGTCTGCAATATTGTATTTGTGTCTTAAACAAATGAGAAGTTGAACCGTAATAAAAGAGGAGATTCGAAAGTGTTTCACAGCTTTAGTCGTCATTTTTAAGCCTGTGCAAGCGGGTTTAGCGCTGAAGCCACAGACGCTACAGGTGCTGTGTGTGAACTCATGGCTGAAAGTGTTCTTGGTTGCATGGCTGTTCACACGAAGTTCTCCTTTATTGCATCTACAGCGCAAATGCACAACATTATTTCTGAGCAAGCTTGTCTTCACTGTTATTTCAGTCACAAGGCCACAGCATTTGTTTTTATTCAGAAGAAGGAACCAAGTTTGTTCACCGTTAGCATGACTTCAGTCACCCAGACAAAATGTCATGCAGCGCGTTATTGCATAACATCCGACCATCTGGAAATTAGCCTAGTCACCAAACCTGGGAAATGCAGTTTCCAATCAGTCAGCACACTTTCTATATTCGTGCATTATCAGGCTGCTATCACAGACCCATTAGGCCAAAAGCTAATGTGCTCAAGTGTCAGTTTGAGGTTAGGTCATGTGGAATGTCTCATGATGGTCATGCAAGTGTCCAAGGTCCTTCAGCTTTCTGCTGGGCAATGTTTGTATGTAAACCATGTATCTCCATTTTTCAGTTTTTGACATAATTTGAAAATGTCTGTTGTCCTTTATATTGTGTGTAAATTTCATGATGAATGGACCAAAAGAAACGGCCCAAAATAACTTGGAAAAAGTCTGGTTCTATTGACTTACATTAAAAGTAAAGTATGTTTTTTCCTTCTCATGTAATGTTACCATTTTGGAGATACGAGGTTTTCTTCCGACAACAGCGAAACTACTGAAGTTAGAAAGGCCATAAAGTTACTCCAAAATGGCCGTCATGAGGTGGGGAAATCAGTGAAATGTGTCCTTACAGCATGCGGGGGGGCATGTTTATGACCAAACGTATAAGAAGTACGAAGGAAGAGACACGTGATGTTTCACCCACATGGCAGACCCGCCATCACACTCCCTCCAACACTTATCAACCCTCAGGGTAAATCTCACCTCCGTCTTAAGTGTTGATGGAGGTGTCAAAACTATTGTTGCACAGCTCTGCCAGGTCAACTCCAACCAGTACTGATCTTTGCATGTCAATTCAGTGTTGAATCGACAGAAATCAAACGTCTTTTGCTGCATAGCCAACATGTCTGTGAAACAAGATGAGTGCAGATCTTCAGGCTCCTTGCCGAGGTTTCGGGAACTGTAGCAGAGCGTACGTGCTGTTGGCTTGACTCTGCCTCACACCGCTGGTTGACGTGGGTAGTTCGATCTCTTCATACTGAAAGAATAATGGCATGATCGAAATTTTAGTTAATAAAGGCAACTCTCACATTTCTTCCCACTTATCAGATGTAGTTTGGAAGAACTGCACAGATTTCCACAGTGGTTTACTGTGAAATCTGCATTGTAGAGAAACTGACTGACTGATTTCTTTACAGTGGTAGTGATAGGAACCAGACGCCTGCTGCACCAGCCATACGTAAGTTCCAACGTAAGCTAGTTATAGCGTAAGTGTTTACTTCAGTTCAGGTTTATTAGTTAATAAATCTAAATGATTTGCAACACACAAACTAGAGGTGGGCGATACTTTTTAAATTTTCACGATACACAGTATATCACAACATTTGTTTTTCAGACATCTAGTCAGTTGGAACTGACAGTAGCGCTACATCTTTAAAAAATACTGTCCAAAACTGTGAACAACAATGATTTTTTTTTGGTCATATTTGGCACCAAATCTAGTTAAACTGGACTAATTTTACAAAGAAACATGAACTACTCATGATATCTTTGATATTGCTGATGTCAGAAGAAAACCATGTATCTCCAAAATATTACCTTAACAGGAGAAGGAAAAAACACACTTTACTTTTAATGTAAGTCAATGGAACCAGACAAACGACAAAAAATGGAGATACAAGGTTTTGTTCTGACAGCAGTGATATGCTCAGAAAAGCGCACTGTGTTGTGAAGTAATTCATCATGATAATCATATATATTGTTATATTACCCAGCCCTAGCATTTTTTAGCATTGCTCAGAAGGGAAAATCAATGGAAACATAATAGATTGCACAAAAAAAGACAAAATATGTCATTTTTGGTTGAATAAGTTAAAACCTATATGCTATATGTTGTGATTTTACTCACAGCTCTAATTAACGCCCCAGCTTTGGCTCAATTAGACTCTGCAGCTGCAGAAATGTTGGATCACCAGAACACGCCGTTTAAAATAGCTGCACATTCGCTTGTTGCAAGGAAATATTAAAGGATAAACAGACAGTGGCTATAAGAATGAATTTTTATTCTTTTTAACTTGTTTACATTATTCTATACTAGGTAATTATCCACTGCATGCAAAGAGTCAGCACAAGCTGCCATCACATTTCATGAAAGCGGGTTTTGTGATTGAGCATGTTATCTTCATGTTAAAGCGATGTACGCATTAGTTAGTTGTTACTAGTTAAGGCATGACTTACAGATTGACGGGGTAACCAAATTTAACAAATGGTTAGTCTGAAAATAACGAGTGGTAACTACTTAGGACTTTATGCACAAACCTAAGAACAAACTCACACAAAACCAGTGCGACCCATGTCTACAACACAAATATTGCAGATTTATTACCTATTCAGTACAACCTATGAATGTACCTTCTTTATTTATATGTAATATTGATGTTTATAAAATAAGTTGTTTTGAGTACTATTTTGCCTTACAACATCCGGCATGCACCTCTCCGCCACAAAAAATACATTTTAGGCCAAAACATTTCTAAAAACTATCATAAAACAGTGTCTCAGTCATCAGGCAGTGCATTCAAAACCATTTCATGTAGTAACTTTCTGTGAGGGAGCTTTAGAAGTGGACGTCTGGTTCCTATCAGCACCACTGTGAACAGCTCTGACTTGGAAAGTCTTTTTAGGACTTTCTGTTTTCCATCAAATCATTCTCAAAAACTTACATCGACTGTTTAACTGTGCAGCAATTTTGTAAAATTGGTGGGAGTTTTAGCACTGGAGCTACGAGGCTAATGCAGCTAACAAGTAATGGAAGCTTATGAGCACTGGCTATATATAAACTGTACACTGTGACACACTTTGCTTAGACAACTGTGCTAAGTAATCTCAGTTGACTTGTCTGTGTGGTGTCTGACTGTATGTCATACTGCTAGCGCCAAAACATTCACCCACATTAGCCTCGTAGGTCCGGTGCAAATCTCATGCAGCAAAGTGTGGACAACTCCATTTTCTTTTATGGCTGAAAACTGTATATTTGATCTTTCACTGCTTTAATGCACTGCTTGTATGAACACATTGCTTTTCAACTATAATAATGACCCATATTATGTATTAGTGATTACCACATGCTAATGCAGATAAAATAGTGGTTAGCATAGCTGCCTTGACTCTTGGCTGACCCTTACGGGACTTTCGATTTCAGCAGCAGCAAACAGCGCACACGCCAACACAGACAACAAAGCTAAAGTCATCATATTAACTTCAAATAAATATATATATATATATATATATATAAAATTGATTTTCTAAATAAAAGCCAACACACATCCTGTACAGAGAACACAATGCACAATTACTGTTCATTGGCTGAATTTAACAGATCAAAAAAAAATGTGGTGTGTACAAAGTTTAGGGAATGTTTATTATAGTGTTTTATTTTTTTCAATGTGTTAAACTCAACAAATAAATAGAAACCGCTTTAAAATTTGCTGAAAGTTACCATATTTAAGTGTTTTCTCTGTAGACTATTTGTTTGTTAGGGGTCTTTCAGCTTTTGCGTACAACTGTAGCTTTGATAATAGCAGAAAAGCTAAATGCAGTATGCTCACCTGTACATTGAGGTCTTGATGCCGCTGGACATTAGACTCTTGAGGTTGTGGTTGGAGTTTTGGCCTTTTGCAGCATTGAACTGTCAGACCTGAAATATAAAGGGATAGTTTACACAAAAATTTGAACACCCCCAGCAAAATTACACTTTGTTACACTTTGTTGATCTTGAAAATAAGTTAACGCTTTAAATGATCAGGGCCCAAAGTTTTATTACACACTTTTATAATCTAAGAATAGCTCAGCCAGTTTGCACTGGAGTCCCTGTAGTTACTGAATAATAAGGCTTGGTATGTAATAAGCCTAGGATTTTAATGGGTTAACACATCCTCTACAGAGAACACGCTTTAATGTGAATTTTGCTGCCAGTTTTAGTGCTCAATTTTAGTTTAACATATTGGGGGAAAATATAAAATGAGCCATAATTTTTGCACAAGCCACAATTTATGTATTTTTTCTTACAATATGTAAAATTCAGCAAATAAGCAGTAATTGTGCATTAAAATGTGTTCTCTGTAGAGGGTGTGTTCACTTATTTACACTTAGAAAATAAACTAAACATTGAACATTTGACCAGCGGTGCCCAAACTTTTCATACGACTGTACATTGATATTACACTACATGAACCCATCGGAGGTCATTTTTACTTTAATATACAGCACTACGCAAATATGCAAAAAAACTAAAATTACAAAGGTATTTATTTGTGGAATAAGCATTTATTTACTCAAAAAAAACATTAATTTTTTTTTATATTGGAATAAATACTAATAATCTTCATTCTTGTGACTTTACATATGTCAGCGTGTTTGCATTTCCTCTCCTCATGGCAGCCCGGTATTATTCCCAATTCTGGATTGGCTAATCAATGCTATCAATAATATGTTAACTTAAGAGCGCTTAACAAATCCATGCAATAGCTGGAGACATTCAGGACAAATCTGGAACCAAACTTCAAACTAGCTCACAAAGAAATTCTTGTTACTTTAATTTGCATTATATTAGGCAATATATATTATATAAAGGTAAATGTATAATAAATAAAGATATATTGTGTTTTACTGGCAAAAACGCACTTATCGCCAAGATAAGTGGTTTTAAACAATAAGCTTAAGTGTCTAAGCCTGTACAGAACTGTACATAGAACCTCAGTATGGACGTGATTTCAATCTCACACAGATCACCTGTATAAACAGCTATGAAATAAATATTGTAGTAGGTACGTCTTTAAGAATCTCCTTCAAGATCAGTAGCTCAGCTTTCGGTAGCAGTAAAACAGATTTAAAGTATGTTTATTTGCTCTGTGCTGGACTCTACACAGCAAATATAACCTACCTATTACTCCAAAGAGCAGAACACAGTTCATCAGGCCGGAAATAATGAGAGGGGTTTGCTGATGTCTTGTGACCTCTTTGTGGCCTTCTGTGTGATTCCGTAACTGCTGATGCTCCTCCGTCTTGTGATGATCCGAACACGATTCTGCAAAGAGAAGTTAACTTGCGTCAGTTTGTTGTTATAAAGGCAGTTTTTCTAGTTTTATCATGTATCAAGTTATCAAACATGTCAAACATACATATGGCTGTCAGAACAAAACCTGGTATGTCCAAAATGGTGACTTTACAGGAGAAGGAAAAAAACCTACTTTACTTTTAATGTAAGTCAAAGGAACCAGATTTTTTCCAGGTCATTTTATGCCGTTTCTTTTGGTCCGTTCATCATGAAATTTAAAGAACAACAGGCATTTTCAAATTATGTCAAAAACTGAAAAAAACATTTTCTTCCGACAACAGCGATATCAAACAAGTCAAACATATATATATTGCTGCTGTCAGAACAAAACGTTGTATCTCCATTTTTGTTGTTTTTCAGTTTTTGAAATTAACTAAAAAAAAATTTGAAAATGCCTGTGGTCTTTACATTGTATGTAAATTTCATGATGAATAGACTAAAAGAAATGACCCAAAATTACTTGGAAAAAAATTTGGTTGCATCGACTTACATTAAAAGTAAAGTATGTTTTTTCCTTCTCCTGTAAAGTTTCCATTTTGTAGATACAAGCTTTTCTTCCAACAACAGCGATATGATGCAAAGATAATAAGTCTCTATTTATCTTAGTTTTTAAAAACACATTGTGATCTTAGAAGAACAAAATACTGATCAACTGTCTTGCTTTGCTTTAAATCTGAAAGATGATTGGAAATGTGAGACATTTTATATTCATACTTCACTTTATCATTAAAATGACGGCTCAGCGTATCCAACATGTTCAAGATACAGATGATGCTGTTTTATGTACGGACAAAATAGGCTATATATTTTGATGGCAAACTCAGATGTTTAAACGGTTTAGAAGAACAACACTAACAAAACATATTTATTTACTATAAATCTGAAGAAAGTAGATATGACATCTATAATAATCATAACCCAGAGCTTTAGACACAAACACTCAGTAACGCAATTAAAAACAATTTGATCCAATTATTTTTTACATACTAATGTTAGTGAACTAAAACTGTAACTGGATGAAATGTACAAAGTTCCAATGTACTCACCATTGGTGTGCAGTATCCTGATGCCAGTGCTAATTTTAGGTGGTGTGTCATTGTACATGCAATAATAAATTCCTAATTCATTCAAAGTGATATTGTGTATAACTAAACTACTATTTATCTGCAGTGAGAATCTTTTGCTGAAGCTACTGTTGCTGTACACAGGCACTGTGGATGCTTTTGCAAAAGATCGTAATATATACAGTGGAGGCTGTGAGGGCTTCATCAGGAACCAGTATACGTCTTTTGTGGAAATGTCACAGTTTAAAGTCACATTCTGTCCCAAATCCACCAGCTTATCTGTGAAACACTCTGCAGCTCCACACAACAGCAGCAGACCTGGCAAGAGAAACAGCAGAAACACACCAAAGTGAATAATCCTGTGTTTCAACTAGAATTAAGGTCAGGAAATCTGTAACCTATGAATTTATGTCAAAGCCAAAAGTCAGTAAACTCACTAAAGTGAAGATGTAGGATCTTCATGTTGCAGCTCGAACGTTCTTCATAAGGTTCACTGAGGTCGCCGTCACTCTGCTCACTGCTGAGCTTCAGACACAAACACAAGAAATTGAGCCAAAGAACTGAGAGGAAGTGGGAGTTCAACTTGCTCTGACCACAGTTTTTTTTTCTTTTCTTTTTTTCAGAAGTTGCCTCGCGCGTGTAGAAACACACACTCACACCATTCAGGTGATGTTTCCATAGACGTTAAAGCCCTTTGACCATTCGTTTAGTTTGATTAACACTCATTTGTACAAACTGGAACCCACTTTTACTAAAAATGTCTCACACTGAAACAGAGGTTCTGTAAATGGAGCTCAGCTGCTTCACACTCCAGTCTCAACCTGAAATAAACCTGTGCTGATTTTGAGATAACAAGTGTAGCAGGCTTTGAGTTTCATAACAGTTGTGTTCAAAGCTCTAAGCCTATAGATCCAAAAGCTGACCGAAAAAAGTGCCAAGAGATTTAAAAGAGGAAATGTTACCACCCACAAACGTCGCGTAGGTGGGTGGATCTCACTGATAAGAGTTGAGGTGAAACCCCATCACATGCAGAAAAGACAATGCAAATTCAAAGTTGAGGCCTGTTTATTCACCTAAACTACTTTACATAGGTTTGTGATTTGATGTAAAGTGAGCTGTGTAAGCTGATGAGGCCTAAAATAAATAAGAATGAAAATGATTATAAAATCAAAAAATTAGACAAATACTCAAAATTTTCTGATCTTAATGCACCCAAAACTTCATATTCTACACCAAACTATATAATTTAGTGAAAAGAATGTTACAAACAGCTATACTGAAATGAATAAGTGAACAAAAAGTGAAATCAGGAACAATAATTTTGTGCTACCAAAATTTAAGGCCTTCAAATTTTTGTACTAAGGTCTAAAAGCCCACACTGTCCAGTAACCTCTGACCAGCAGGGGGCAGCATTTACTTATATATTGTATAGGAATAATATAGGATTATAGCAGCAGGTTCCTGATTACCCGGCTTGTACTTTTTAGATAAAGACTTATGTGACTGTAGACTGTATTGACCATTTTACCGAATTTGTTCTGTGGTCCCACAGCAAAAAACACTATTTTAAAAAGCAGTGAAGTTTTCAAATCTTAGATATTTACAAGGATTATATGATCTGTTTAAACCCAAAACATCAACCAGAGATGGTAATAAGCATTTCTTATTATTGTTGTTTTTTAAAAGATCTCTTAAAATTCTTTTAAAGCGAGACTGAAAGATTTAGATTGAGTTTAATTTAAAAACAAATGCTGTTTTCATGTCACTACTGAAACATAGTTTTATTCTGTAGGTGGAGCCTGATTTTAGCCACACCCCTGATGTAAATATGTCCCAAAGTCTGGAAATCAGTGTGAATCAATAAGAACTGTCATTTACAACACATATTTTTGCAATTAAGTAAATGTTTTTGTGTTTTAATGAAAAGTTTTACGAAAGCTGTGTTTGCTAGTCATGTATTAGCTATTGTTTTAGAGTTACGCTCAAAATGAGCTCAAATTGTCACTACCGAAACCAGATTTATGAGGAGTCTGACCACTTCCTATTTCCCCCGTTGTATCAAAAACAGATCTGCAAAACAGCAGAGGGCGCCCTCGAACGAGTCCTCAATGAATAGGAGTAAATAGAAAGTAAAAGGATGTATTTCACTAAAAAGCAAAGAAAACTCACCTGTATGTTTCCCTTTTTCTACAGCAAATGGATTTTGGGCAGCAGGACACTAACATTACTGCTACTGAGTGCTGATTGGCTGGCGAGCGGAGCAGCTCATTGGCTGTTTGTGCTCACTGACGTCATGAACGTACATGAGGTGCCATTTTAAACTCCTATAACTCGAGTTTAAAAGCTCTTAAACATATAACAACGGTGTTAAAATGTTTTATGCTGTTCTGTGTTCAGGAAATTATTGTATTATTTTATATTAAAAATATTTAAGCATTTATAAACTATGATTTTGCTCAAATGCTCCATGTTAACCCATTCATTTTGGACTCGCTCGGCGTTTGAGAAACCCAAAAGACATTACAGAGTGGACATTCTCCTCTCTACAAGTTCTCTGACTGAGACATTCACTACTTACACATTTGGTAAAGTTTCAGCACTGTTATGATTGTTTTGGTAGTGACAAAATGAAATGTTCAATCATGTTTTACTAAAATAAAAATAACTGAGGTTTAGAGTCTCTCTAAGCAAAAGGATTTTAGTCTAAAGTCCAGGTCAGTTAAAAGTCCCAGCAGAATGATCCACCACACTCTGTTATAACTGTAAAGCCAGAAATGATGAAGTGAAATAGTGAGGGCGACAGCTTTTTAAATTAGAGGTTTTGGTCAGCTAGTATCGCTTAAACCACAGAATAGGGCTGAGCACATTCTGGCTTTAACAGCCTTTTATATGCTTTATATGAAGCTTCCAGAGTGAGAGTCAGTATAAAGCAAACAGAAAAGACTTTTGTGAGTTTCAGGTTTATTTATGCCAGAAATACACAGATCAGGCGTAACTTTATGACCATCTCCTTGTTTCTACACTCAGTGTCCATTTTATCAGCTCCACTTACTATATAGGTGCACTTTGTAGTTCTACAGTTACGGACTGTAGTCCATCTGTTTCTCTGCATACTTAGTTAGCCCCCTTTTACCCTGTTCTTCAGTGGTCAGGACCCCCATGGACCCTCACAGAGCAGGTACTGTTTGGGTGGTGGATCATTCTCAGCACTGCAGTAACACTGACGTGGTGGTGGTGTGTAAGTGTGTGTTGCGCTGGTCTGAGTGGATCACCACCAATTATTTAAAATTTCTGCATAATTAAATAGATAAGATGTAAAACAAAGTCATTCAGAGTGGTTTATGTGAAAACGCTTCATTCTAGAGAAACTCGCTGAGTCAGAACTGCTCACAGTGGTGGTGATAGGAACCAGACGTCCACCTCTAAAAGCTCCCTCACATAAAGTTACTACATTAAATGGTTCTAAATACTCAGCCTGATGTCCGAGACACTGTTTTACGGTACTTTTGTAATAAAGTTTTGGCTGTGGTGGAGGGATACATGAAGGGCATCATCGTAAGGGAAAATAGTCCCCAGAGAAAACTCTTTTTTTCGGATTAACCACATTACGTATATCAAATAACATATGTTACATATAGCAACATTACAAATAAAAACTCAGAAGACTTGTGTAGGTTCGCTGGTGGATTTAGATAGTAAATAAACTGGTTATATTTGTGTTGTAGTCATGGTGACCCCTGGTTCCTATCACTACCAGTGTAAAGGATCTGAATCTGTAATCTGAGTCTCTATGACGGGGGCCAAACCAAACCGCTCTGAATGACTGTTTACATCTCAACCACTAAATTGTGCAGAAATTTTGGAAAATCGGTGGAGTTCCCCTGTCACAACGTTTCCATCCTAATGCTGGTTAACGCAAGCTGACGCGGCTGAATCAGCGTCAGTCGCTGCTGCAGCCCGCGCGCGCATTTCCTATTCAAATTTTAACGGAAACCAGCGCAGTTCAACCGTCACTTCAGCCGCTACAGGTAAGGGAAAATAGCGCAGTTTTTAAGGTATATTTTAATATGATTAATTAATATTCATATCGTGAGACATTAAAACACGGATAATGCGAGTCGTTTTACGTTATTTCATGTTATCATAACGCGTTTGTGAAATGGCTCTTTGTTAGTTGAAGCCAGCCAGGCTAACTGACGTTAGCCAGCTCTCCCAGCTAGCGTTAGCGAGGTAGGTCACCACAGATGGTAATACCTGTTATCTATATTCTCTTGGGTGTTTGAGAAAATGTGGCATAATATTTCTCAGTTTTGAAAGCGAATGTTAGTTAGGTTAACGTTGGCTATTATGTACGAATGTCATTCAAACAGTGTAACATTTTAGTTAACATTTTATTAGAAGTTTTATGAAATCTAATTGCATAAAATTATACATTAACAGATTATAAAAGTGAATTAATGTAAACAATGAGTGCAGTGAATGAGGCTACCATGGAAAGAAGCCCAGTAAAGTGAGTCAGTGCTGTGAAGCTGCGCAGCTGAAAGGAGTCTGCTGAGGTAAATTAGCTGACGGTGTGAACTTAGATGAACAGCTCAGTACTAAACATACTGTGTTTCATGGTGATGATCGATTATTTAATATTCGTTTTAGTGTTAAATGTGATGTTTAAACGTGCTAAAATGCATTTTAACTGGCCGTGAAAGTTTCCCCACCCCATTCACATTCGCATCCCTGGGTTTCCCCACCCGCCATGTTCGTGTGGCGCTGGGGGGGTCGGTCACTATTTACACAGATTTGATGTCCAAACCCAGCTTAGATGGTCTTTCCAACCGATTTGATGGAAAAAGGGATATATGATAACGTCTCAGATGCATCTTTGACAAATGTTTTAACATGTTTTATACGCAATAATTCGTGAAACACGGCTGAAAAATGTTTAGACCTGCATATTTTGCGGTAGTGTAGGTTAAGTGTTTTAATTCTAAGCAGAACAAGATTGATAACCTAATTATGCTTAAGAGTTTTTTTTTTTATTACATCTAAAAAAGGACTGGGTATTATGAATTACTGCTGCTTATGAATACAACCTACAAATAACAACTAGATAAAATTAAGAGTAGTAGTTAATTTATCTTTAAGAGACTGAGGTCACTCACTGTTAGCCATAAGTTACGTTTTAGACCAAGGTTTTCTTTTAATAATTAATAATATGGCCTTATTTGCTAGTTATGGAGACATGTTGCGTGGCCAGTGTTGGCCAGCTGCTGCTCAAACAGCGGTCATCAACACATTTTGAATGGAATGGATTATTCTGTGAAGGGTAATGTGTTTAATATTTTGTAGATCATTAACTATTATATTACCAGTATGTTGCAGTCTGAAGGTTATATGTTTGGCATATATCTGAGGAGTTGCCAAAATAACACAGTTTCTTTTAAATGTCGTTTGCAGGGTAGAACTGGCTTAAACATCGTAAAACTTCAAACTGCTTTCAGAAGAGGATGTAACTGTAGTGGTGTCAGATTTCTATTTAATTTAACTGATTTTTTCTGTTTTTTTTTTCTTGTTGTTATTATTAAACGTGATATAGAGATTTTCATAATAGAACGCTAATAGCAACCTCTAGTTTTCCACTAAGAAACAAAACAGTTTCTGTTAGAATGCTGTGCTTTTCAGTAGCAT